ACGATGTTTAAGCCAATATTCACAAGTCAATAATTGCTATTCCTAAATATATTTAGTGTAATGAAAGCAAAAATTATTCCATTAGATTGGCATACAAGTAGAGTTTGTGGGCTAGACAAATAAGGTAGTATCAATGACCTGACCTTGTCTTAAAACTTATTGTTCAGAGATCTGAGGACGTGAATTTCAGTTAGCAGTAACTATCCTAAGCATTTGCATTTTAACTCTGTGGTTCATACTTTTGGGACGGTAAGCCTAGTCTAAGGAAAAGAGTAAGGCAAAACTGTCAGGTAACATTAATTTTTTTTTAATTGGGCATTTTTAGACGAACTAGAGATTGTGCGAACACAAGATTAATGGAAAAAAAGAATAATTATATTATTTACATGATTCTGGTGGCATTGAAGAGTCTGATAACGATCAGAATGGTGATAAAAGTGTTGGTCATCAATGCTATCAGCCGCAATGGCCTCAGGTAAAGAGGAAGAAAGACATGGGGAGCTAGAAAGTAGAGAACGACTGTTTGTTGAATGAGTCAATGGCTGCCCAGGAAACTGGGGCTGTTTAAGACTGCATTCTGATAACTCTATAACCGTTGTTCCTGCTGATTGATGAGAGTGAAGCTTATTCTGAGAAGTATGACCGCTAGCAGAGGAGTCTGAAGATAAAGGGCTCTTTACATAAGATGCCTGACAGCCTGAGCGCGAGACAGGACAAACAGCAGCGCTATTGTTGGTGTTATTATTATTAGAGGAAGCCTGGGCGTCTATAGTAGCGCTGGTGCCCGCAGTAGTCCCATTTGAGAAGGAAGATGATGACACTGAGGGAGACGAAGTAACTGTAGTGGCAACCGAGGTGGTGGAAATAGAAGCAGTTGAAGCGGGAAGAGTGGAGCTGGTTACTTGAAAGCCTGATGTAAAAGGACGATAGTTCGAAGTATGGCCGTGATGGTGGTGCGAGGTATACTGATTATGTTGGAAATGGCTGTGGTGATTAAAGGATCCACCACGGGCTGAATAAAATGAATAAAAATTAGTAAGAGGTGAAGTTAAGAGAGAAAAATGTTTAGCTAGCTGTGTCAAGACAGGTGAATCAACTTTTTTTTCCATAAATCTGCGTGGTATGACATTTGAGCAAATACTAATGGAAAGTAAGGTTAGGTGAATCTCTTGAGATAACATTGCTGGTGGGACGTTAATTCCGTGTAAAATTGCATCAAGAAGAGAATCGTAGGTCGACCTCACCAGAAGTCAACGACTGGTTCCCGTTTTTCTGCAACCGCTTTCCTTTAATACGACGTACAGGTTAGCACAGTCTAGTAAACATCCTCCTTCATTTCGGGTGAAGACGAGCTGAGCTTCTACTAATTTAAGACATGCAAAAATGAGTTCCAGCTTTGATAATGTTCGCCATATGAAGAACAAAAGCTAATCCCATCTCTACCCGACAAGAGGGAGGATGTCACGTGGACTGTATCAACCTGTACGTCGTATTAAAGCAAAATTGATATAGAACAGGAAACGATCGTTACCTTCCGGAGAGATCGACTTGAGGATCCCGTCATCATGCACTTTCATACGAAATAAGAGTCT